GATAGACAGATCCAAGATTAAAGGAGGAGACTCAGAGAGCAGGACTCAAAGTATGAAAAGGAGGTGGCCCAGGGAGTTAGACTGGGAAAACTTGGACCTGGGCCTAAAATCAGCATCTGAGCAAGGGTTGATGAAACTTTCAGGGAAACACTTCAGGACAGGGTCCCTAGGGACATATACACCCCAAAGTCAGAGACCCCTCACCCCCATGACTGGAACCAGAGACTGAGTCTCCCCTCTCCCCTTTCCCTGATGGGGCAGCAACAGGCCTAGGCGGATCCATATCCCTTACCCTTCTTGCCAGGTGCCCCTCAGCAGTGGGGGCAGTGATGATGATGTGGTCATCCGAGAAGCCCAGAGACTTGGCGACTTCAATGTATTGCATTTCCATTTCAGGGCTCAGCTTCAGGGTCCTCCCTGTGGCCGACACGGTGGTGAGTGGGCAGCACAGAAAACTGTGTAGCTTAAGTTTTGAGACGGTATCTTGCGATGCAGTTCAGGGGGACTGGAAATTCACAGTCCACCTGTCTCAGGCTGCCCAGTGCTGTAATGACACGCGTGGGTCACTAGCCCACTACGGGAATGCTATTGAATAGTGAAGGAGGCCTCGGATGCCTTTCCACGGGGGTCTGTGGAAAGACTTCCTCCCTGAGAGGGATTAGGGCCCCTCACACAGGTGTGACCAGAAAGCAGGACCATGAGGGAATGGAGTGATGACTTACCATAGAGCATGTTTTCAAAGTACACCCTGTCTTTGAGACGGAACACGTACAATAAAATGGCACTCTGGGTGTAGTCAGTGGCCAGCACTCTCATGGTGTAGTTCTCTGATCCTGCAGAGTACATGCCAAGGAGTCATCCTGTCCTGACCAGGAGGAAGGGGCTGTCCCCTTCTCCAACCAGTCCGCATTACCTTCTCCCCCAGGACAGCGTCCACGTGGAGGGCCGGGGAGTCTTGTGCCCTTCTGGAAGGACTCTGCCCCAGATTCCCACCCCAAGCCTCACAAAGTCAGGACTCACGTGTGGTATTGCCCAGGATGAACTGGCCAGGCTGGCCACTTGGGACCATAGGGTCACTTCTATGATCACATCCCTTGTCACTGTGAGAATGAGAGATGGGTGATAAACAGAGAGCACACAGGCTTGATCCCCCTGGGATGCATGAAGTTGGGCGGGGGCTGCAGGAGGATTCTTAAGCCCCAGTCTAGCCCAGCCCATGACATCCACCTCCCACCAGGGCAGGGATCCAGCTAGGCGCACACCCTTGGCCCAGGACCCTCCCCTCTGAGTGTGTATTTGGCCTGCTATGGGGCCTGCCCAACCCGCCCTCCGGCAATTTCTTTTCCTGCTTCCCTGCGGAGCCCTGTGCCACACCCAGTGCCCAGGCGCTGAGTCCTGCTCTCCCTTTCCCATCTCTCCGGCAATCTCCTCTGAACTTCCAGTCTTCTCCATGCCGAGCTCTGCCCCAGTCCTTCAGCCAAACGTGACCTCTCACCTGAGTCTGTGCTACCTGTGCACCGCAGACTGGGGCGCCTCACTAGCTTTTTCTATGCCCCGTAATCCTTCAACAGAAACTATAA